TTTATTATAAAAAAGAAATATAATGGAAAAGCTGAAGAGCAAGTTTAAGGTGGCTAGTGGTCACACTGAAAAACAATCATATGTATGTATATACATGTTTTCTGTATGTTCATGTACATTTGCAAGTGTGCCTGGAGGCCAGAGGTCTATACTATCTGTGGGCATTATTTTTTGAAGCAGGTCTCTTTCTGGAGCTGTCTGATTTGGCTACACTGGCTGTTCAGGGAGCTCCAGTATGGCCTGGGATTTACAGGTGCATGACAAGCCCAATTTTCTTGTTGGAGTGTTGGGGATCCCCCTTCAGACCCTCTTGCTGATGCAGCAAGCACTTTACTCATGGAGTAGTCTGCACAGGCCCTGAAAAATATCGTAAAAGGTGAAATGCAAGGTCATGAGATTATTTATTCAAACTGTTGGTGCAGCCAATAGACAATGAAGGTGAAATTAAGAAGGTATGGGTGGCGGGGCTTGAGGTCCGGAGTGTATTTCTCTCCTCTAGCTGGCCTCTGTAGACCAGCCACATCCTCAAGTTCCCTGTAGGAAGGTGGCAGCCATGGAGGATCTTAGACCAGACAGTGGGTCACAGATGACAATATGGCTGTCAAAGGCAGCAGAGGCAGCGCAAGTTGAGTGACAGACACCTCCGCACTTCCCTACCCACCAATCAGAATTCTGCAGAAGGCCCATCCTAAGGGCCTTGAACTCTGGAGGTAGATGCTTGCATGACTTTGAAGATTATTCACAACCCTGGTTTGCTGCAGCTGCTGAGCGCTGTTAGCACTTCAAGCACATGGGTTATGATGGCAGTTAAATTAAATACTCTGCGTAAATACAATAAACGCTCAATGGATGCTTGGCATTTGTCACCCAAATAGTCTTTTCTAGTTATTTTACAAATTAGTTTAAGATGAACTGTGAGGACAGCCAGGTACTGGGAATCTTTTTATAATTCCAGAAGAAAAGTGGCCAGGGTTTTTTCTCTCTCTTTGGGTTGAACTCCGGCTTCCAACTCAAGATCACCTAGCCCTCAGCCTCTCACATGCTCTGTTCAGGGTCTTTTTCAAAGAGTGGCTCCAGCCAGCTCGTTAAATCTGATTAAAACAAAACAAAACAAAATTAACAGTGATTTTTAAACTCAAATTTGTATTAGCTGTTCTGTTTGAGACAGGGTCTCAATTGCAAAGACCAGGCTGTTAAGAGTCATAGCTCCTTCCTATTTTGTATTCCTGTGTGCTGTGAGGTGTGGACTACTAAAAGCTATCTGTTCTGCTGTCTTTAGCGAAGACTCTTACGGTGAACCTTGTTATGGTTGTAGGTAAACTGATGCAAGCAATCTCTTCTTTTCCTCCCCTTCTCTATCTCCCTTACTTTTTGTCCTTCATCTCTCCCTTTCCCCTCTCTATCTACCTTTATTTCATGTTAGCATAAAGAAGAGACCAAGGAGAAGCTCAGGGGGTTTGGACGACAAGTTGGCTATGCAGTTGTTGTGAGTTGCTCTTTCCATGGGGGACCCTGTTCTTTCAGAACACCTTCACTGGGGCAATGCAGGAGAAAGATGCTTCTCGAGGAACCATTGGATTTGCTTATGAAGTTGTTTGCCTTCAAAAATACAGTTCTCAATCAACCAAAAGAGAATGACGGGAAATAAGCGTATGTGCATTGTACCAAGTGCGTCTTTCACAGGGATTAGATTGAGAATAAAAGTGATGGCGAGCTTTTTAAGATGCTTAAGTAGGCTGGTGAATAGATGTAGGATGCACTTCCACATCTGTGGGCTAAGCTCTGAAAGGCTGAACCACACAGAGCAAAGAAATGGACCAAACCATCAATTTAGTAGGTCATTTTGAATGTAGGCAGCAAAATGGCTGCGTGTGTGAAAAGCCACTACTATATTTTCAAAGAGCCTTTCTAAGAATCCTGAAATATTAATAACATGGTCTTAATGCAGTTAAGGGTGGCAAGGGCTGCCGAGAATAGTACAATCACAATTATGTATTTTTTTTTTTTTGGCTTGTGCTTGTAAAAGCAAGAAGTTAAGAGTGGAAATAGTCAATGTGTTGAAAAGTGGCTTTCAATTTTCAAAATTGGTATAGAGCTTTGTATTTCCCAGATAAATTCACATATATTTATCCTTAGTAAGGTGTTAATGTGAGCTTTGAAGAAAAGAGAAAAACTACACGAACTCAGAAAGGCACCCCCTCCTCATTCACTGAAAGGCACCCCCTCCCCATTCACTGAAAGGCACCCCTTCCCCATTCACTGAAAGGCACCCCCTCCCCATTCACTGAAAGGCTGGTGCAATCAATGCTCAGCTTTAACAAATGAGAAGAAACACCTTCCAGTAGGAGTGTTGTGAGCTCCCGATGAATTTTGCAACTAGAATTTATCTAATTAGAATGCCACGCCCTTCCCGCCCCCTCTCAGCTCTGAATGTGGTGTGTTCACATCCTACTGCTTGGTCACTGACTAATTTCTATCAATTATCACCTTCTCCTTTCACTGTGCAACTTGAGATTTTAGGTAAAAGTGAAAGTGTGCGTGAATTAGCCGGCAATGTGCAGTGTATACTCAAAGATGTTAAAATCGTTTGTGTCTTGTTGGTAGTTATACCACCAGTTGCCTCCAGTTGCATGTGTCTTCTGTGACTCACTGAGTGACAGGGGACTCAGGGAGTTTGTGTCCATGTTTAGGGTCCTTGTTTGATGCGGGACCATGCAGTTTGATTTTTTGGCTTCTTCCCAAGGTCTGGGTTGCAGTTTTTTATGAAAACCCTCGGGCCATCTTAAACATGACCATAAGCACCTTGCAAGCTGAACCTTATCTAATTATGGGATGCCTGTGAACTTGGGAGACACATAAATCACAGTCACCAAAGCAATTTGTTTGTCTAAGGTGCTTCGGTCCAGTGAAAGACGGAAAGCAAATAAGGGAGAGGTTGATCTGGGAGCACTGTTATTGTCGGTGCTCCACAGGCCATAAAGTTTTAGCTTGTTGCGGGAGACTCCATAAACAAGTTTAGCTAATAGGAATGAAGTAACTGTGTGTGCGTGCCTTCCTGAGCACCCACCGGAGTCCCTCTCCGCTTGTCATTGTGGATGATGATAAAGAAGAAAATGCTAGCAGGCCAATCCAGAGGGTGAGGGGTGGACTTCAGTGGAGGCTTCATGGATAAACGGAGCAGCTCTCTATGGCTGCGGGTCTCTACAATAGTATTTCCACAGAAAACCCAGCATGTGTGGACGCTCAGACATCTGTTCCTTTCAGACAGGTCCCTGAATGGCCACTGTGGCTGATCTCTTGCATTTTAGGCCAGTGAAAGGCATGCAAGGGGATCCCCCATCCAGATGGGGCTTTGATAGTACTGACATGATCTGAGAACATGATAGATGAAGCCAGCATTGAGAAAAGCATGCTGGGGAAATTGTGGATAGCTCATTTTCTTTTCCATCCTCAGACGGTCGGGAATAACTTAATTATCATTGTCCTTATCTGTGACCTTAATACCTGATGGCGCTGGTCTGTTTATTTTAGGTTGGAATAGGCTTGGGGAGTAATCATGAAGAGTGGGGAGGAAGAAGAGGGGAAGGGAGCAAAGCCCTATTAATTAATTTTTATGATGAGGTTTTGCAGCATTATTGAATTTTTCCACATTACTGAAAGTGGTCCTCAGTGTCCGTGGGATGTTTGTAAAGATGAGATCATGGAAAGCGGCTCAGGTGCGTTAAAGGACTGTAGGAACCTGTGTTCTCTGTATTCACCTCTTGAGAGGTGCTCACGGCAGGGGAGAGGGTGCAGGCCAAAAATGGAGGCAGGGAAGTACAGGAGGGCCTCTCATGCTTGAGAATAAACACCACTTATTAACCTTTTTTGGTTTTTCGAGACAGGGTTTCTCTTTATAGCTTTGGAGCCTGTCCTGGAACTAGCTCTTATAGACCAGGCTAGCCTCTAACTCACAGAGATCCACCTGCTTCTGCCTCCCCAGTGCTGGGATTAAAGGCGAGCGCCACCACCGCCTGGCCTGTTAGCCAGTTTTTAAGTAAGCTACTTATCCTGTACTAGTCCGGAGTCTATCTTCAAGTCATCTTTTTGTGTTGTCCTGAAAGCGAATGGTTCATGCCTTACAAGCTCGTGTCTTTCATGAATGCCTTTGTTGGGTTTTCAATCTGATTCTCTGTAGCCACAATGAGAAAATAGCCGCCAACCAATTGTTTTGTTTTGCTTGGTAGCATTTGAACACATACATTTCCATCTGGTTGATTCAATAAAAGACACCCCCCCCCCCCAACACACACACACACACACTTATAAAATCCAAAGTAACTGACTGAAAATCCAGGTTCTGGGGAACTGTACACTTAGCGGTCAAAGATGGCCACTGGAACTTAACCAGGCCTAAGATCTTAAAAGGACAATTACCTGGTGGAAGCTGGATTCTTCCTTTCAAAGGTGCCTCTAGTGCTTTGTAAGGGGGCTACAGTAAGATTGATCAGGATAATGCCTCTAATGGCTGCTGCCTTGCAGAGAGACGCCAGTAAACTTTCATTGTACTGCACTTGATCACACTAGTTTTTAAAGCAGTGTCCTTTAGAGGCTCCTTGACACATAACCAGAATTGCCAGTGAGCCTTAAAGAGAAGCCGATGCTGTTTGTGTGGCCGAGTTGCTAGAATGCTTACCCAGTAAGGAGAAAGCTCTGGGTTTGATCCCCAGCCATCAGGAGATAGAGGCAGAAGGAGAAGACATTGAAGGCCGGCCACTCTCAGCTACATAGAAAGCTTGGCTAGGGTATACATGAGACCATGAGACCCCATCAATTCATGTTTTGGGTTATTTTGCCCTGCATTTCAAGCTGGGTAATCCCTGAGATGAACAACACCCCCCTCGCCACACACACACACACACCCCTTTTCTGCCATCCAGGGAATGCTTGCCCATTTTGCTTTGATGTTCCTGCAGCGGTTCATGTTTGTTTGTTTATTTCTTTTTCCTCCTTCCCTGTAGCTTGCAAAATTGGATATTACAAAGCTCTCTCCACGGACGCCACCTGTGCCAAGTGTCCACCCCACAGCTACTCCGTCTGGGAAGGAGCCACCTCGTGCACCTGTGACCGAGGCTTCTTTAGAGCTGACAACGACGCTGCGTCTATGCCCTGCACCCGTAAGTGCTTTGCTTGTCTCCTGTCTCCTGCGATGCCAGCAGCTTTCATTACCACCTAGCAGGGTGCTGCCAGGACTTCTCCCAGGATAACCTTGCAGGGGGCAAATTAGATAGCAAGCGCACATCCCCTTGCTATCATAGTAGGAAGCGTGCTTAGGAAAAGAAAGCCCCCCCCCCCCCCCATCTCTTTCTGGTTGCCTTCACAATGCACAGCTGCCACAGACTACTTTGTGGAGCAAAGATTGAGTGTTTAGGTTGTCTGACAGTGTAATTACAGCGGGGAATGGAATTTATAAATGGTCTTACCTATGCGTCGAGGGCTGGGGGAGACCTGACAACCACAGGAAGAAGAGGGAGCAGACCAGGATTTGGGGACGTGTTTCAGTTCTGTATGGTGTTTCAGTCCTGTATGAGGCCATTCGGAGTGCTCTGAGGTCATTGCTTGGGTTTTCGTTTTACCTCTTCCTGCTTTCGTCTCAGTTCTGTGTTCATAACACTTAGGCCAGGGCCCTAATAAATGCTGATTTCGTATGAGGCACTTAATAAAGGCTGGCCTAACGAATAGATGGTGTTGGCAAGCCCGGTGTGAAGCTGGACGGGGAAACCTCTTCTCACACTTTATTTGGACAATGTTCCCAAGGTGTTGCCACAGACCTCGCCTTGGCTGTGACCTTGAGCAAGGCAGAAATGATAGCCCCCTCCTCCATAGTTCAGTCATATTTCACACTAGTACTGTCTTTCAGCACACATCCTGGTCATGTGGCATACAGGACTTGTAGTTTAGAGTTTGTTTCTCAATTTCGGTTTACTGGCAGAGTGGCTGCTTAGCCTTTGACGTCTTAATTTTCCTCTCTGTTGAATGGCGCTAATCATAGCACGTGTTATATATCTTCATTCAGAAAAGCTCCACATTTAAAGATTTGGGGGATTCGTGTGATATTTGCATATACACAGAGTTACTGTTTGGAATGAGTCCCAAGTCTAAATACGTGTTATCCTCATAGCTTGATGGTAACTTTATATGCAGTGTTTCTCTGTTTTCACAGAAGTCTCTCACATGAGGTCAGCTGTGGAATTTGTCCCCTTATCACGTCTCTCTCCTAAAAAGGCCCCAGGTTCTAGAGCACTTTGGAATTTGTGGGTTAGAAACGCTGCCTCTCTGTCTCCCTCAGGTCTGTTGTTATTAGATATTCTCATATTGGTGTGTGTCAGTCATGTGTAAAAACAATTTTACTCCTTAGGTTTTACTATTATTATTATGACTGTTATTATTTTGATTTTTTTTTAACTGCTGTAAATTACAGATGGACCAGACTGGGCTGGCATCACTGAATATAGATGCCACTCCTGGCTTTTGATCCACCAAAAACTTCAGGGAGTTTATTCTGTAGCATGATCAGAAACCACCCTTAGTAGGAGAAAAGAGAGAGGTTTCAGGTCCACCCCTCTCAGTGAACTTTTATGACATAAAGGACTCTCTCTGTTTCTGGAAAAAGACATCATGACTGTAGGCAGACACTTGTCTCCTGCCAACCAGTTCCCAAATAACCAACCCAGAGATGTATATTAATTATAAATGTTTCAATGGTGGCTCAGGTTTCTTACTGGCTAGCTCTACATATAACTTAACCCATTTCTAATAATTTGTATGTTGCCACATGCCCCATGGCTTACTGGCATCTTACTCTTCTGAAGGCTGCTGGTGTCTCCAACTCTGTCTCTTTGCTTGGATCTCTAACCTAGCTATAATTTGCCCTGCCACAGGCCAAAGACTCTTCTTTATTAACCAATAATAATAAAACATCTTTACAGTCTACAGGGGGGCATCCCACATCATATGACCACAACAGCTCTTATAAAGGAAAACATTTAATTTTGGAGTGGAGGCTCCCTTATAGGTTCAGAGGTTTAGTCCATTACCATAATAGTGGGAAGCAAGGCAGCAGGCAGGCAGACGTGGTGCTAGAGAAGGGGCTGAGAGTTCTTACATCTTGACTCTCAGGCAACAGGAAGTGATCTGTCTCACTGGGCATGGCATGAACATATATGAGACCTCAAAGCCAGCCCCCACAGTGACGTACTTCCTCCAACAAGGCCACATCTCCCTGTGGCCTCCCTTTAAGGACCATTTTCTTTCAGATCACCACAAGGGCCGACTGTTGGAGTGATGGGAGCACTAGACCCAGGTGATGTGCCCAGCACATCCAACTTTCCCACATACTCACAATGTAGAGACAGTTAATTAAGGTAGGGCTTCTTGGTTCTAAACCAGGTAGCTGCTAGCACCGAGACGCCCCTGACCAGCACAAAGATGGAGCTGCACAAACTGAAAACTTACAGTATGACCTCCTGGAAGGTTCTAGTACCTGGTTTCCGAGATCCAGCATTAAACTTGCAGGATTAAGGAGTGCAAAGGGAAACTTTACAGCTTCCATAACAGCTAGGATCTTTCTTTTACCACCCTCTTTTTTTTTTTTTTTTTAATGACTTCCTAGACTAAGTTCTTTCCCTGTCTGGTTCCCCCGTCCCCCAACACACACTCTTTTCTTATTTTATTTTTTTAACCTGATCGAATCCTGAGTTTTTCAGTATTTTTCTTCTATGTTAAGCTCTTAAGAATGAGTTCCCTGCCCCCCCCCCCCCCCATCTCCGCTCACTTCCAAACAACAACTTAAGTGCTGGGAACTGGGGGCACAAGAGCAAGATGAAGAGGAAGTATTTTGGGCTGATGTTTACATAATGGCCCTTTATTTGTATGAGGGACCCCACCTACTCGCCACACAGAGACTCTTGCCTTCTGGGTAAGGTTTGCCTGGGTTGTGAATGTCAGGAAACAGTATGGGTGCTTTTTCTTCTCCTGATTCTGATGTGTTATCTAGCTTTCTAGAAGCCATGTGCCAGTGTAGTGAGTGCTAGTTGGTGCTTGGGAGTGTAGCCCACCTCCAGAGATTGCCATGTGTGTGCTAAATTGGGCTATTTGCCATAGGCATCACACCTATGTGAAATTTTATATTTTGGGAGAAATAAATTGTCAGCTTTATTCTGAATAAGCCAATGAAAAACAAACTGGTTTTTAAACTCATGAATTGAAACCCAAATTTTAAAAGTTTGATATGACTTTCCTGTTTTTCTCCCCCCTGAGTCGGTGTTCTCCAAGATTAACAAGCAGGGAGCAAGGGTGGTGGGAATTTTGAGTTGTGAGGAAAGGTTGGGAGGGGTTCCTTTCTTCGCACCTTGAATTCCTCCCTCTCCTCTGTGCTCTGAGGTCTCCTGCTTGGTGCTTGTGGCCATCACTGTATCCTGCGCATTCTCCCAGGGCTTCTATGACATGTTCACAGACTTCGCAGCCAGCTAGAACTCCCTCACACCAAGTTTGTGACTAAGAGTGTTTAATGTCTCCAAGTCCTTTCTCTGTGAAGTAGATTCTCACTATCTACGCCTATGGCTGCTTTTAAAAGTAATTAAGACAATATTTGTGAAAGCCTGACACATGGTGGGAACCTGAGAAATCTTTGTCCTTTTTTTAAATCTTTATTTGGTCACATAAGTCCTTGGCCAACCCCCTGTCAGGAGGGAGCACTACCCTTCACGAATGCCAGTGATTTGTGCCCTGACAACACAATTACACCCCAGGTAGGTCTGAAGAATCTGACTTTAATCCTGTTGTACAGCGAAGATGAACATCACATCTTTATAGAGTTAATTTTTTTTTAAACTTTACTTATTATATAAACCTTGGGAGCCCTCCTTCAAGAGAGGGACCCTCGGGTGGGGGGGGGGTTCTGTATTATTAGATGAGACATTCTGTTGAAAGCGGAGTGACAACTTGTTGTTTGATCTGTAGTCAGTAGGAGCATGGAAAGTCATGAGCTCTCAGCTTTCCATTCAGTTGCTCATTTGTGTCCTCCACATTGCTAGGGCCGAGCAGCCACATGGGGCTGCTCCAGTCACTGTTAGATACCAGCATGGACATAGATGTCTCTCACTTTGCAGAAGGTTCCAGTCTACAGCCATTGGGTAGATGCTTCCGTAGAAGAAACCATAGGAGTTCCTCCAAGAAGCCCTTGTTCAGATAACCCACAGGACAAATCCTCCCCATTCCTAGCTTTATCGGATTCTCTTGACGAGATGTGGGGATGGAAGGGAACATAAACATCAGGGGACCCTTTCAAACGAATTCCAGCCCCTAATCAGTTCTTCCCAGTTGGTTAAGCCAGGTGACAAACCCAATTCCCCTGTGCTGACAGCCATGATAATCAGGCACCTTCTTTGTTCATTATGCTGTCTTTAACCCCCAGCATTCTTATGCAGCCCCGCATTTAGTGATCGCTCACTGTGACGGCACACTAATGAAGAAATAAAACACACTCTCCGAGAGGCATTCTTCTAGCCAAAGTGAGACTCTGCTCCAGTGGCTTGTAAAATCAGGTTTTTGTTCACCTGGGGGACGATTAGACCAGGTAAAGACAAGTCGCACCAACTAATTCAGAAGAAGACACCTAGAAGTTTGTACTGTCACCGCCACTGGGGAAAATGAGGAAAATTAATAGGAATACACTTTGGTTTTGGAGGACTTTTGAGGGAATCTCTGGTTACCCTAAAGTGAGTAGATATGGTTCAGACAGACTGAGATGTAACAATCTGAATATTTAAGATGTATCTCATACCTGTTTCAAAGAAGGGAGCCTAGTGCTAAAGGTTGATACTAGTATTTATTATTATTATTATTTCTCCTCTTTCCCACTTCTGGGGATTGAACCCTGGGCCATGCCTATGCTAAACGAGAGCTCTGCAGTTTAGCCAGCCAGTCAGCTCTTTTCAGAAATAGGATTTTCTTAAATTATGTGGACTAGCCTCAGACTCATGATCCCTTTACTTGGTACCCCCAGCTTCAATAATTCAAGATCATAGGGGAATTGCCACCATAGCCAGCCATAGCAGTGTCTACTCTACACATGCATGGAAGACATGAGAGCCACTTAGGCGTTGGCTGCACAGGC